TTAATTCCCGTTTGTATGTTTTATATAAATAATAATATCATTATTATTATTATTATTATTATTATTATTATTATTATGGGTTTGTTCGTTTGTCCTTTGTCCTCGTTTGTTTTAAACTCGTTTTAAATTGCCTACGTTAGGAAAACAAGAAAATTGAAATGGAAGTTAATATTTTTTTTTCCTTTGAATTTTAAAAAAAAAAAAAAAAAAAAAAGGAAAAAAGAAAAGAATGAATGGACTCAAAGGAAAAAACAACAAAAGGTGTGCAAATTTCTTTTTTAATCCTTTGTCCTTTCTCTCTCTCTCTCTCTCTCTCTCTCTCTCTCTCTTTTCCTGTTTAGAAAATAATTTTATTTTTTACTATTTCTCGAATTTCCATTTCCATTGTTTTTTTTTTTTTTTCAATTTTCCTTTTCGAAATAAGTAAAAAAAAAAAATAATAATAATAATAATTTCTGATGAAAATATTGTTTTCCGTTTTTTCATCTACCTCCACTTTTTTCTTTTTTTTTGTCATTCTTCACGTTTCATTTTCGCATAACAAACAACAAAGGAAAGAAAGAAAAAAAAGCGAACGAAATGGTATAAATACACTAATACAAACCCACCACGCATCATTTTTTTTTCCTTTTTTCCTTTGATTCCCTTTTTTTTTTTTCATTTCCTTTCATTTCGTTTCATTTTTTTTTGTTCATTTTCCGTTTTCGTATGAAAAAAAAAAAAAAAAAGTAATCAATCATTTTATTTTCTTCTTATCAAAAAAAAAAAAAAAAAAAAAAATTGAATCGGGGAAAAAAAAATGAAAAAAAAAAAAAAATTACAACGAATTTTTGTTAATTTTATATCGAAAACAAAAAATATTTTTTCGGGGCCGGGTTAACCGTCAAAATCCGGGAGGAGGGAATCTGTCTTATCTTACCCAAAGGAAAAGTTTTTCCTTTTTTTTTCCTTTCTTTCCTTTTGTTTTCCATTTTCCGCCGCTACGTCATTCATTTTTCATTTTCTATTATTATTATTATTATTATTATTATTATTATTATTATATATAGAAACTCTGGAGAGTTGGAAAAAAATGTATTTTTGTATCGGTTTACTGGAATTTATTTATTTTTTTTTTAAACTAAAATTTATTCAACCCTAACGAATGCATCCTCTTTCTCTCTCTCTCTCTTTTCTCCACCTCCATTTTTTTTTTTTACCTTTCATATAGATTTTTTTTTTTTTTTTTTAATAAAATCGAAAAAATTTTGTAATTTAAATATTTCACCGGAGAAAAATAAACAAAAAAAAAAAAAAAAAGTTATAAATTTACATTAAAGCGACAAACAAACAAACAAACAAACAAACAAACGAACGAACGAACGAAACAAAAAAATTAATAATGACAATGGCAAAAATGTCAAAGGAATCAATTCTCAAATGGTGGCGGTGGTGATGGTGATGGTGCACGTATATAAAAAGGTTTTATTTTTTACCCAATAATTATAATGTCGTTCGACGGGGGTTCGCGTGTGCGGGTGTACGGATGTGCGTGGGTGAGGAATTCTGGAAAAAAACTGGAACAAAAAAAACAGAATTCGTTTCAATTCCATTATTATCATTGTTATTATTATTATTACTTTTTTTTTTTAATATATCTTTATCGAAAGGAGAATTTTACGGGTGGGTGGGGGTAAGGTAAGGTAAGAGAAAGGAAGGGAGGAGGGGAGGGAGAGGGTAAGGTAAAGGTAATTCCAGTTTTTTTATTTTTACGTTTGTTCTTCTCCAGAGATTAATGAATTACACGATGCGCGATGGGAATCGATGGAAACCGGATTATTTTTTTAAAAAAAAAAATTATTTCTAATTGATTTATATGGAATTATTCATTATTACTATTATTATTATTATTATTATCAATATCGTTAACATCATCATTATGGTTTTAAAAAAAAGTCTGGAATTTTTTTTTTTTGGAATTGAATGATAAATAAAAAATGGAGGGAAAAAAAAGGTTGGAATATGCATTAGAAATAAGGGAAAGTTTTAAGGAAAAGAGGTGTGGAAAATGTGGGCGTGGCGACATTTTTTTTCCTTTTTTCCTTTTTTTTCTTTTTTTCTTTTTTTTTTTTTTTAACTTGCACGGAAAAAGTTTTAAAAAAAGAATTTTAAAAGAAAAAAGAAAAGAAAAGAGAAGAGCGAACCACTTGTTGTTGTTGTTGTTATTTGTCGGACAGTGACACGAATTTCTCACCCCCCCCTTCCCTCCCACTCTCCCCCCGAAAAAAAAACGTCCAACAGAATTTTTTCCAGAGGATTTTATCGTTTTACAAAAAAAAATTTGTCAAAACATTTTCAAAATAAACGACGACGACGACGACAAGCGACCGACCGACGGACGGACGACTCGTTTATTCTTTTTTTTGTTATTACGATTTTCAAATTTCGCGCCTTTTTTTTTGTAACATGACGACAAACTATTTCCGGTTACTCCGTAACGTTCGATTTAAATTTACGCTCATGAATTTGTTGTAGGCTGATTTTTGATGCGCGACCTTATTCTCTTTTGATGCGCGAATTTATTCTTTTTTTTTGTTTTACTTACCTTTTTTTTTTTTTTTTTTTTAAAAAATCACCCGTATTTTGAATTCTGCTGACACGACGATATGAAAATTTAATGTTTCGACTCCGGCGCCATTTTTTTCGTTCTCCCTTCGGCATATAAAATTTTTTATAATTTTTTTAAAAAAAATTTATGTCACGGTTCGATTATTAAAGCAATCGTCGTGTCGTGTTTTTGTTTTCGTCTGCTGACACGAATATTATTTAATAATTTTATTATTATCTTTTTAACCATAATTTTTCACCCCCCCCCCCTGTAGCATTCGTTAAATTTTGTGTACGACTGAAATTATTTCGATGATGTGTGAATCGAACGTGGTTTTAGATTTTTTTTTTTTCATTTTTCTCAAGTAATTTTCAACTCATAATTTAAAAAAAAAAACATGTAAATTATCCAGATGGCCGCGTACGAATCGAATTCCAAAAACAAAATTTGTGATAAATTGAAATTTAATATGTCGTTCGTTAAAAAAAAAATCTGGAATCGAATTCGAACTCGAAAGGAAAGTCGAAGGAAAACTTTATATCATCCAAACGTGGTGCGACAGCCACGCCATTACCGCCACGTCGTTCGTCGTGGTACCAATCACCAATTTAAGAAAAAAATTACGTGATAATAATAAGGATAAAATGTGTGGGGGTTAAATTTAGTAAAAAAAAAAAAATTCCTCACCGTGAAGTGAAAGAGAAGAAAGAAAAATTAAGGAGAGGGAGGAGGAGAACACTTAGGCGGGGGTAAGGAGAGGGGGAAGAAAAAGGATTTTGATTCACGTTGAAAGGAAATTAAAAACGAGTTTTGAAAAGCTCGAGTGAGAGAGAGAGAGAGATAGAATAAGAAAAGTATCATCAGGAAATAAGTCCGACTAACAAAAGGTCACGAAAGTAAAACGACGAAAATTAATTCGCTGGAAGAAAACTTCATCATCATCATCATCATCATCATCATCATTACTGGAGAAAAACTTTTACGGTTTCCTTTAATAAATCGTAAATTTTTCGCACGGATTTTGAAATTTATATATTTAATACATATACATTAAAAAAAAGAAGAGGAAGAGGAAAGAAAAGATCGTGGAAGCAGAGAGAGAAAAATCGCTGGAAATTTTTTTTTTTTTTTTTTTGTTTTCCGGTTTTCCAGTTTTTTTTTTTTTTTTATTTTCTCCATTTCGACTTTGTATCGACGTAAATCAAACGCACTAAAAACTAATTCAATTTAATGGAAATTTTTATAATTTGATTTGCACACGAGTGATTTGATATACGAGATTTTTTTTTTTTTTTGTTATTCGATTTTCTTTTTTACTTTTGATAAAAAAAAAGTGGAAGAAGAAAAAGAAGAAGTAGTAAAGAAAAAGATTAAGAAAACTTTTTTTTTTACGAAATAAAAAAAAAACGTGGAAGGAAAAAATAAATAAATAAATAAATAGCAGAAGAAAAAGAAGAAAATAATAGTGATAATTTTTAATTTGTCTTCTGCCACGTTTTCTTTTTTTTTACGTTTATTTTTTTTTTTTATTTAGGTTGTCGTTTTCGTTGTTGTTTTTGTTGTTGTTCAGTCATCATTTTTTAAATAAACACGTAACAACTCCGTGTGACGTATTTCCGGAGGGGGGTCAAATATTTATGCGATTGATTGATATTGAGTGAACCGCGTTAAATGTGTCAATGTCGTTTTTTTATCTCTCTCTCTCTCTCTCTCTCTCTTTCTCTTTCTCTTTCCTTTTATCAGGTTTTAATGCATTTAATTAAGTGATAAGGTTCAAGGATTTTAAAATGATTTTATGCATTTTCGCATCGTGTAAATGTTTTTGTTAAAAGTCGTCGTCAAGCGAGAGAATTTTTGTTTTTTATTTTCTTTTTTTTCGCGTCTCTCTTTTTCTTTCTCTGGAGAAAAAAAGGAAGGAATGAATGCGTTTTTACGTGCGTGAGTGCGTGAGCTCGTGTTCGTATGCGTGAGTTCGTTTAAATTTTTGTAATGCAAAAAAAAAAGATGATGAAACCTACTCAAAATGTAAAAAAAATTTTTTTTTTTTTTGGAATTAGTAATTCGTTGTTTAAAAATTAAAATGAGAAAAATTTGAGGAGGAGGAGGAGGAGGGGCAGGAGGTAGAGGAAGAAAGGGGAGCAAATTTTTTATTTTTGCGAGGGGGAGAGGTAAAAAGGGAGAAACGAATTTTTTTTTTTAAAAAAGTTTCTCGTGGGTTTTTTTTCCCCGAACAAAATAAAAAAAAAAAAAAAAAAATACAAAATTTTGTATTACTGTGGTTAAAATTGATGGAACCCGTGGGGGTAGGAAAATCATGGAAATGGCATCGAGTGGGGAAGAAAGGAGAGGGGAGGGAAGAGGAAAGTGAGGGGGCGGGACGCACGCGTGTGGTTACTAGTAATTTTTTTGTTGTATGTGGCCAGAAATATTCATGCATGATCGCTTCGTACTTTTTTTTTTTTGCTCTTTTGACTCCCTACCCCCTTCCCAATTCAATATATCAGAGCTCTATAATTTTTTTTTTCGGAGGGAGGGAGAGAGGGGGAAAAAAGGGAAGGAAATGAATGGTTTGCGCATCATATAATTTCAAAACTTTTCTTTCCTTTTTTTTTTTAAATTCTGTTGTGCAAACTTTATTTTTTTATTTTTCGATTTAAAAACATGACATGACCTTTTTTTTCTATAACTCTTCCCCCTCCCCGCGAATTAAGAAAAAAACGAAAAAAAAGAGGGAGGAGAAAAGGGGGGGGGGTAGGAAAACCAATCATTAACTCGAATATCTGGATGGATAATTATTCTTTCGTAAGGTAAATTTTTTCTTTTCTTTTTTTAAAAACAGTTTTTAAAGGTTTTTTTTTTTAACTTTTTCCCTTTTTTTCTGCTGAAACGTACCTTTTTTTTCTACCCCTTTCTACCACCCCTTAACTACTCCTCCTACCTTTCCTACTCCACCCACCGCCGTTTTCGTTTTTCCTGATTTGAGAAAAAGGAGATGAATAAATGACACTTTTCAAAATTCTTATTCATTAAAAAAAACGAGTTAATTTTAATAATTAAAAAAAGAAAAAAAAATATTTCTTTTCTTACACGACAGATTCTTCTTCCACGATAGATTCTTCCTTTACGACAAATTACTTCTCCGCAACAGACTCTTATTCCACGATGGATTTTTCCTCCACGATAAATTTTTCTTATTATCATTGAGAAAAAAAATTCCTACCTCGATGGATTGATTCATACACGAATAATTCTCTCTCTACGACAGATTCTTCTTCTTCCACGATGTATTCCTCCTCCACGACAAATTTTCTTATAATAATAAAGAGAAAAAAAAAAAAAATTTTTTTGTTTAGGAGAGGTATCGTCAACGAACAAATGACATTTTTTGGAAAAATTTTTTATTTTTTTTTTCCGTTTGTTCGTTTGTTTGTTTGTTGAGTAAAAGCCGAACGCGGTGGAATTTTTTTTTCCGTTCGAGGTTAGCTCTCGTCTTTGTCGTCTACTTTCGTTAGGATTACCAAACGACAAAGAAAATTCAATTTTTATAAGGAGATTATCATTATGAACTGGAATTTCAGGATAGTCGGGGGAAAAAAAAAAAAAAAATGACTTATCCGAGCCAAGTTTTTAAAATCTTTTAAGCTGGAAATTTTTTTTTTTTTGTTATCATTCTTCTAACGATAATGTTATCATAAAGAATTTATTTGTCTTTTTTCATTGTTTGTTTGTTTGTTTGATGTCAAAGGAAAAAAAAAAAATGGGAGAAAATCAGAGAAGGGAAAAAAAAATAAAATGTGACGGCGTGAGAAAGAGTGGGGAGAAAGGTGAAAAGAGACAGAGAGAGAGAGAGGATGGGGAAAAGAGAGGTGAGAAGAGGAAAAGGAGAAGGGGGAAAGGGGAGGGGGTTCCGATTGAATCAATGAATTAATTAATAAGGATAATAAAGAATAATTTTGAATGTAATAAATATTAATTTTTTTTTTTTTTTTCTGTATGAAACGTTGAATTAATCATAAAAATTTTTTATTATTCGTATTGAATTTAAAAGAATTTTTTTTTTTTTACTTTTTTTATGTCGTCGAACGGCGAACGGGCGAACGGCCGAACGAACGTACAACACAGATTATTATTATCATCATCATCATTTAAATATTTCATTTGTTTTACGTTTTGATAACGGAGAATTCGTAAATAAATTTTTCCCTTTTTTTCTATTTTTCATTGCAAACAATTTGATTACTTCCAGTTTGTTTGTTTGTTTGTTTGTTGCGTTTGTTGCTTTTAAATACATTTTCGATTTTATATAAGAAAAAAAATAATGAAAAGAAAAGAAAAGAAAATTAATTTTTAAAGCCGCAAACTTTTCTTTTTCTTTTTTTTTTTTTTTTTTTTGTTTGCCGTTGCTAATGAATAAAATTTTTCACTTTTCTTTACCCCTCCCCTCATCCCTTCCCCGCTACCCCCTTTTCCCCGTCACCAGATGCTGCTTCTGCTTCCGCTTTTTCTTCACTTTTTTTTTTTTTTTTTGTTCCGCAGCGTTCAATTACGTGGAAAATTTTAATGGACTTAAAAAAAAATAATTTTTTTTAAATTAAAATTTTTTCGACAAACTTTTCTCTCTCTCTCTCTTTATTTTTAATTAATTTTTGTGTCGAAACGTCATATCGTGAGAAAGAGTATATAAAAAAAAAAAACCGAGAAAATAATAATGATGATGATGATGATGATGAAATTTATTTACATCATCATTATCTCTTATCATTCGGGTAATTAATTATAAATAATAATTAACCGTAACGGTTTTTAATACATTTTTTTAAATTTTTTTCTCCAGTCGAATTTCCGTATTTCTATCTCTCTTTCTCTCTCTTTCTCTTTCTTCCCTCTCTCCCTCCCTCCGACTTCTTCTCTTTTTTTTCATTTTACTTCTTTTCACGTATTTTTTTTTTTTTTTTTTTATCCTTTTCCGGTTGTTCTACTTCGAAACTATATAAATTGCGAATGGCAATTTGCGTATATTTATCCACGTAGTTTACGGTGGTGGTGCGTATTTGCGTCGTCTCCCTTTATAATTTAGTTTTCCAGTTTTCCAGGTTTTTTTTTTTTTTTTTTTTTTACCTTGCCTTAAGTTGATTTTCCTGTATCCTTTTTTTTTTTTTTTTTTTTTTTTTTTTTACGAAGGTTTTGAAAAAAAAAAAGAAGAAAAAAAAAGAGAAAAAGGAAAAAAAAGGGAAAATTGAGTTTTGCCTTGTAGCAGTTGTCGTGAAGAATTATTTAATGCTCTTTCAAACTTTTAAATAGAACAAAAAAAAAAAAAAAAAGAAAAAAAAAGGTTTCAGACAAAATTATTATTATGAGTAGACGACGACGACGACGACGACGACGACAACGACGAAGACGACGACCATTTTTTTTTTTTTTTTTTTTTAGATTCGAGAAGAAAAAAAATGGTGGGGGGAGAGGGGAAAAGGGGAGGGGATGGAGGGAGAAAATTATCGTTAAAAAATTGACGTATTGAAATGATTATTGCTTAGTTCCACGTGTTTTTTTTTTTTTTTTTTTTTTTTTTTGATATGTGTTTGTGCGAATTTTGATTTTTTTTTTACGATCTTAATTCATCCTCCATGTTTAACAAATGGATCATCATCATTTTCATCATCATCATCATCGTCGTTGTTGTCGTCGCCGACATCACCGCGATGTCGTTTCCGTCGTACAATTTTTTTTTTTTTTGTGAACCAAACGAAAATTTTCTTCTCAATATTCTTCGTAACTTTATCATTATAAGAGAGGGTCTTTAACAAAAAAAAGTCGTGGAATTAGAAAATAATAATAATACTATCTAGGTTCTTTAAAAAAAAATTATTTTTTTCTTTCTTATTCGAAATGTTTTTTTCTAAAAGAGACGAAAAAACTCTTACGAAACAAACACGATATAAAAATAATTTTTATTTTATCCCGCCTCTTTTCTTCCTCCTCCTCTTCCTTCTTCTCCCACAATTCCTCTCTCCTCCCTCTCTTCCCGGAATCAGTAAAGCATTTGGGAGGTAATAAAAAAAAATTTTTTTTCTATACGTAGGCGCGTAACGCGTAGAAGATTAAGTTTCATACTCTTTAGTATTCGATCGAAAAGATTTCATATAAAGTTTATTATATTTATTATTATTATCATTATTATTAATATTTAATATAATATTAAATCAATGAGCATAAAAAAAAAAAAAAAATTAATTTATGTATCTATGCATGCATGCATGCATACATGCATACGTAAATATATATAAATATTTTTATCGTAACGAATTTTTTTTTTTTTCCAGTTCGATGGAAAAGGATAAAAAATATTATTTATTGTTTTTTTATTGTGCTTATTTTTTTTTCTCCTCTATCTCTATCTCTCTCTCTCTCTCTTTCTATCTCTTTCACTCTCTATCTTTCTCTTTCTTTCTTTTCTTTTTTTTTTTTTTTTTTATCGCCGAATCGTAATTGAAATAAAATTTATGAAATTTCCTTTTTTTTTTTTTTATGAAATATTGATTATTGCGACCGAAATAACATTTTCATTTCCGCTTTTGGGGAAAAAAAAAAAAAAAAAAGGAAAAATTTATTTTTGGTGCCAACGAAAAATCTGTCGAGTTTTCTTATTTTAAAAAGAAAATAATAATAATAATAATAATAAAGAAAACTGGAAGGAAGGAAGGAAGGAAGTAAGTAAGAAAAGAAGGAAAAAATTTATCGATTTATTGAGTGAAAATTTCGAATTTTTTTTTATTACGCGTTTATAAAAAAAAAAAAAAAAAAACGTGGAAGAAGACAATAAAAAATTTCGTTATTATTATTATTGTTAAATAATTTATAAATTATGCAACGTTGCATTCGTAAGAATTTTTTCTCGTTCGGTAAAAAAAAAAGTACATCGCTCAATTAGGAAAATGTGAAAACAAGTATATTGAAAACGAAAAAAGAAAAAAGAAAAGAAAAGAAAGGAAATGGAAAGGGGAGAAAGAGGAAGAAAAGGGGAAGGGAAAAAAGTGGGGGGGAGGAATAAAATTGGGACTAAATAAAAACTCAAATCTAATAAACTAAGTAAACTAAATATAAAGTCTTAGATAAATATTTGTTGTTAACTTGGAAACCCGAGGAAAGAATAAGAAATAAACGTAAAGAAAAAAAAAGAAAATGAAGACTTTTGCGGTGGAAAGAGAGAGAGAGAGAGAGAGGGAGAGAACGAAAAAAAAAAGAACAAAAAAATAAATAGAAAAAAAGGGAAAAGAAAGGGAAGAGAGAGAGAGAAAAAAAAGAGAAATTAAAAAAAACTGGAGAGAAAAAAAAAATTCTGGAGGTAATAATTCAAGTTCCAAAAAAAAAAAAAAAAAACGATTGAAATGCATTTTGGAAAAAATTTAAGATGGCGTCGTCGACCTGGAGAAAGAAAAAAAAATAAGAAGGGGATTTTTTTTTGATGAAAACGTGGATTTTTTTCCCCTAAGGAAAATAATAATAATAAAAATTTTCCTTCCCTTTTATTTCCGGTTTTTTTTTTTTTTTTGGAAAATATGTTTAAATTTTCTTCTTTCTTCTTCCCTCCTACCTCCCATAGCCCCCCTCTTCTTCTGGGAAAATAAAGGTTAAATGAATTGTCATCGTACCTGAGTTTTTTTCATTAAAAACCTTTGAATCCTTTTATATCCCCTCCACTTACTTCGTATCAACCACGTGACTTTTTTTTTCTCTTATCAAACAACACGTGCGATTTTAATTTCGTTTTATTATCATTATTATTATTTTTCAATCGAGGAGTTTTTTTTTTGGGGAATTGGGTAAAAAAAATTAACCCTTAAATTTTTTTTTAAGGGATGAAATTTACTACGAAAGGGGGAGGAGGAGAAGAGGAAAATTAAAAAAGAGATTAGATTTTTTTTTTTCGGTCTTTCTAAAATAGAACGTCGTTTGAAAATTTAAAATTTTTTATTCTTTCCCCCTCCCTCTTCTTCTCTCCACTTCTTCCTCCTCCTTCCCGCCCATTTTTCCCTCCCCTCCCTTCTTCCTTCCTTTTGTTCCTTCCATAGTTTTGTTGTTTTACTACTCGAGAGTTTCCTAATTTTTTTTTTTTCGGGGGGAGGGAGGGAGAATAGAAAAAAAGTTTTTTCTGTTTGTACAGGTGAAATGAAAAGTTTATGTGTGTGTGTGTGTGTGTGTGTTTG